ATGAGCATATGGGACTGTCCCACCTTGTTTATTAGGACTTTGGGAAGAATGACAGTAGATTTTTTTTAATTTAGTGAACATTCCTTCTAAGAGGGCTAAAGCTGCACTAACATAGATCCAAACACACATGTGCTAGAAGCTGGGTCACCAGCATCATTGGCAGTCCTCAAGACATAGGAATATGCTCTATGCTTCTGAGTCAGAGATCACTGCACAGAAAGAAGCTCCTTAGAGTGATGTGCTGTTTGCCTCTAGGAACTTTGGGTTTAAGTGGGTAGACACAAGCTGCTGAATTCTTCTAGTCTGGAGTTTCCCAATGGTCTAGGTAATCTTCTTCTTCTTCTTCTTCTTCTTCTTCTTCTTCTTCTTCTTCTTCTTCTTCTTCTTCCTCTTCCTCTTCCTCTTCCTCTTCCTCTTCCTCTTCCTCCTCCTCCTCCTCCTCCTCTTCCTCTCCTCCTCCTCCTGTTCTTCCTCTTCTTCCTCCTCTTCTTCTTCCTCTTCTTCCTCCTCTTCCTCTTTCCCTTCTTCTTCCTCCTCCTCCTCTTCCTCTTCTTCTTTTCTTCTTCTTTTGTCTAGAATGCTGTTGACTCTTCATAGCCCCTTCTTGTCCAAAGGCCACTGGGTGAGCCTCTTTATGCACTGCACAGTCATTATAGGAAAATGAGGGAAATTCACAGTACAGCCCTCAAGTTTATCTCTTTGTTTTAGTTTAGGACTTTCATAGAAACTGAGATCACTGTAAAAATTTTACCTTCTTATCTAAACTCTCAGCAACCCAAGCTTGAATTCTATACTGTACCTACAAAAGTAAAAGCCCCTAGTCTTTGTACTGATGAAATAAAAGCCCCTAGTTTTTGTCTTAGTAACCCACAGTGACCCAGCATGAGAAGAGTAAAGAGTGAAGGCAGTTATCCTTTATGTCGTTCATTAGCCAGAGTTCAGGGTTAGTTGTCTATCAGAAATACACCATTTGCTTTGCCTGTAATGGGGAGTGGGGATGTTGGAATGAGGAACTCAGGGTACCATGGGGACTTGGAGACTCAGTGATGACCTGGCCACACAGGGAGTAGTTTCAGGTTACTCCACTGGGGAGGTGGAGGGATAGTGAGGGCCTAGGGTATGGCTCTTTGGATGAGTGTGAGTGTGCATGCCCCAGGCCCCAGATTCCATCTTTAGTCCTGGAGAAAAGGAGTTCTGGAGTAGGCTCAAGGTTCACTAAATTAGAATCAAATGTAAAAATCACACATCTTGTTTTACACATGAAATATATTTTATCTAAATAGCTTAGTGACAGTCTAAAAGGTTTGCTAATCTTTCCTGTCTGGAAAGACAGAATAGCTTTTTTTGATACTCCCTACCAAATACTGTACTTCTGCATACCCCTGTGTTATATCAGCTTGTCCTGGTGAACTTGTGCCTCTGTGATGCCTAAATTATGATGCTGTGCATTTAGGTGAGATGCATTTTCTGAAAATATAAATGATAACTGTGGAAAATTTAGCAAGTATGTACATATGAAGAAAAGATTAAGATAGCCACTCAAAATAGTTACTAAAGATGTGTGGATCCACTACGTTTCAATCTTCTCCCTTCTGGTGATATGGAATGCATGTAATAAGGTGAGTGTTGATACAAATGCATCGTTTCATCTGGATCTTCACGTGAGCAGCTATCATGAAGAAATCCCACGTCATCATTCTTCAAAACGGCAATACTCCCCAGCTTAGATGCCCCGCCCCGTGACTATTGAATTATCCTGACTCACTACTTAGATAATTTATGGTTTTTACATTTAAAATACTTATTGAATCTATATTACTTGGCATGTATTTTTGTATGTGGGGTCTCTTAGAGGTAATGAGCATCCTTGGGTATGATATTGACTATTCACCAAAGGATACGTACATGCCTTGGACAGTGTTCACAATTTGGAGCTTTAATGACACAGCATCTGATGTCAAATGACTATTTCCTGAAGGAAATCTTTCTGGGTATAGTTAGACTATTTAATACCAAGATAAAATGATCACATAGTTCATTTTTCTTAGGAAGATGCCTCAGTTGTGATGGAACGCCAATTTCTGAGACGTTAGTGGCTTTTAAATAAGTGTCTTTGCAGTTTTTTTCTTAACCCAGATAGCTCCTAAATAATTGAGACATGACTATTCTATTTATTTAACAACTCTAAGGGTACAGCAACTGAGCAGTATCCCTCTGTTTTCATCCTCTAAGATGATCTGGCTACATCCCCGTCAAAATTCCCATAGCGCTTGCATCTTAGTACTCATCTGCCTCTCTGGCCTCCAGGTGTTTTCATGGTGTTTCCTGGACGCACTCTTTGTGGTGAATTCCCACATCATCTCTCTCCTTTCCCCTCCCAAGCTGGGAGGCAGCCCAGCCATATTCTCTGCCTTGATCAGTCATTGGCTGTTCAAATCCTTTATTGACCAATCAGGGAGTAACTGGGGGAAGTATGCAAAACATTGAGATTGGCCTCTCAGAATAACCATTGCAACCAGATATGGCGGCACAGTAATCAGCATCTGAATAATACAAGGATAACCTTTACACAATACACAATAACATTATGCCTACACTAAGATACATTAACTTAATTGCCATGATCTACTAACCAACTGCCCTAAACAAAGCTAACTGTTCATAATAAGAAATAGTATAAATAAGGGTTAGGAAGACAACTCAGTTGGTTAAATGCCTACCCCACAAATTTGATGGCCTGACTTTGGATGCCAGGCACCCACATAAAAAGTCAGGAGTAACAGCACTGGGGATATGAAGATAGGATCCCTGGGGCTCTCTGGCCAGCCAGTCTAACTGAAGTTCTATGGACTAGGTTCAGTTAGTCATTCAATCAGAATTCAATCAGAATGGTATTCAACATTTGCCTTTGCTTCTGCATACACACACACACACACAGACACACACACAGACACACACACAGACACACACACAGACACACAGCTACACAGAGATACACACAGCCACACACAGAGACAGAGACAGAGACAGACACACACACACACACACACACAGAGAGAGAGAGAGAGAGAGAGAGAGAGAGAGAGAGAGAGAGAGAGAGAGAACCTGTGGCATATACAACTGCACATACATGCATAGAAATAATAAATAAATGGTAATGAAATATCACAAGTGATTCTTACTTTATGTCTATCTATACCAAATACATACATATATACATATACATATACATATATACTTTTGCTACTCTTCCTTTTTCCAAAAGACGTTTTTCTTCATAGAAAGGACACAGTTGACTGGCCAGGGTGGCTGAGGTAGAGTAGGTCTTTCTAATTATGTATACAGGTGGCAAATGTGTCATTAGAACAGTGCTTTGTCTCCTGTTTGAATTGAAAAAATGAAATTAAGGAGCGAAACCTGCCCTACGGTTAGTTAGCACCTTACCATGGGGGACTTACGTCTCTGATGAGTTCTAGAAGAACAATTCAGCTAGCCTCTTCTCTGTCTCAGTGTGCAGCACACTTTGCTGAACTGCCAAGTACGTATTGAGCCTGACTTAAGAAGTGCAGGCATTGTAAGTATCTGGACCCTGCACTTCCTTTAAACGACCATTATGACTTATGAGCTTCTAGATGCGTGTATGATTTTGGATAAACTCAAGGTGATTCTCATTGGCCAATCTCATTTTCCTCCATGGGAATCTGTTGTACTCTCAGACTTGGATGTTTGCCTTGTTGATTGTATTCTGGCTTTGAAAATGAGAAGATGATCTGAGAAGTAGTTGCCCATGTTTTAGAACTCCCTCCTTGGTTGTGATGCCCAGGGATAAACCCCTTACCACATGTGCTCTGACACTGGACCACAGGCCAGGAGCCAAGGTCTTTCCCCTATATTAATGGAGACTTCTCATGCTGACCTTCCTGGTTGCTTTATAAGTAAAGGAAGGATTAGAGGGATGGCTCAATGGTTATGAGTGCTGTGGCTCTTCCAGAAAAGTCACAGTTCAGTTTCTGTCACCTACTTCATCAGCTCACAACCTTCTGGAACTCCATGAGAGCCAGAACTATCTTATAATTCCTGGGGTACCAGCATGCATGTGCATATGAACACACATAGACACATAAATAATAAATAATAAAACAAAGCTTTCTTTGAAAACTGAAAGGCAGATTCTATTCTTGACAATGATTTCACCATAATTTGGCTATGATTTTCCCCTGCTTTTGCTTTGCCTGTTTAGTTACTACAAAACCTAAGGGCAAGAACTCTGGCCCAGGCATCTTTTTATCTCCTGCAGGTCTACCATAGAACCTCAGAATCAAAGATGCTCACCAGCAATTTGTAATTTACCCATAAAAGACACAAAAGCTATAGAATATTTTATTGTAAAAATGTCTGAATGTCTGTTCATTCTGGCATCCGTGGTTTGTGTGTGCATGTATGTGTGTGCCTTGCATGTGTGTTTGTATGTGCGTGTATGTGCACATATGTGTCTTTGTGTGTGCATGTGTGCACATACACGTGAGTTGGCGCAGGTACATGGGTGTGCTTACGCTTACAGAGAGCAGAGGTTGACCTCATGGATGTCTCACTTACTTCCCACCTCATTGTCTCTCCATGAACCTGGAGCTTTCTGACTGGCTAGACTGGTTTTTCAGAAAGCACCCAAGATCCTCCTGTCTCCATCACCACAGTAAGCTTTGATTCCTGTGCTGACATTTTGGGTAGGAGCTGAGGATCGAACTCAGGTACTTGGACCTGCAGAGTGAGCACTTCATTAACTGGGCCATCTCCTCACCTTGGTTTTGATATCATTGATAAGTAAGTAGCAATTGCTTTTCCTTGTTGAAGGAAAACCTAAAAGAAGTCAGGTATGTGTGCATTACCAATCAGGACCAATCAGCTAGTTGATCGAGTTCCCTCTGTGACAGAATCATTTTCATGGAAACATGGCTACCTTCTCATTTTTCCTATGTGTCTTCCTCTTGTGTTTCTCTCAGGTACTCCTGAGAGCCTCGCTGAGAAGGAACGGCAGCTCATGGGTATGATCAATCAGCTGACCAGTCTACGGGAGCAACTCCTGGCTGCCCACGATGAGCAGAAAAAGTTGGCTGCGTCTCAGATAGAGAAACAGCGCCAGCAGATGGAGCTGGCCAAGCAGCAACAGGAGCAGGTGAGAGAGGCTGGGGACCAGGGGATCCTCAGCCAGCTGCCGCTTGTTCTTGGTAAATACTGTTCTCAGTAGAGAAAGATGCTGAGCATGCTCCCCTTCCGAGTCCCTAGAAAGTAAAGACAAGGGAAGAGAACAAACAAATACACCTTCTAACCTGAGATCAAAGAAACTGTATAACTATTTTGGTGGAACCATAGGTGTGGGATGGGTTGATCACCCTACCTAGGAAAACATGAACAGAAATGCCTGAACTGCGCCCAAATCCCAAACTTCTTTAGCACCAGCATGATGGCATCCATGGAAAACATGCCATCTAGACTCATAGGCTTTGTCCCACTCAAAGGCCAGGGACACAGAACTTGGCATATACAATGACCTTAAAAACATGGAACCAAGATGTTTAAGACATACACAAAAATATCATTTTAGATTTAGTTCACCTCTCCAAAGATATCGTAGTACAAATGCACAGATAATAATTAAACAAAAAATCCAGCAACGACAACCCAAACAAAACAAAAGCCACTGACATCAAATACTTTCAGTCGCTAAACACCGAATACAAAACAATTTCCAACCTTTAATTATAGCTTTACTGAGTGAATCAGGGCAATCACAGAAAAGAACCATGTGAAATGTCATTCTCTACAATTGACATAACCATTGTGATGGTGAAGTTAACCCAACTGTGATTGCCTGCGCTTGTCCCTGTGAACAGTCACACATGGATACATGAGGGGGTGAGGGGCTGCTGGTGCCCAACCTCTTACTGCTGAACAGTTGTCTATTGGTAGAGTCTGGGGGATGGACAGTCAATATCTTCACCTGCGTACCTGCTATTGAGCCTACCTGATTCTAATAGACAGCCCCGAGCTCATAGTCACACAGATGGTTCTGGCTAGAATCTCTGGATCACAAAACAAATGAATGGACGTAAATATGAGAAAGAGATTTGTAGGGGAGCAAGAGGTAGGCAGGGGTCATAGGGAAGCAGGAGGTAGTGAGGCGTGACAGTCCTCAGTGTGGCACTGGATAGCCATGTTAACTCCACAAAGCCCACAAAAATGAATCAATATGTCACTGTATAATGATAGAACAAACAATGGAGAATTCAGAAAACATTTAGAGTGGGAACATTTTGAAAAAGAATGACTAATAATGGCGGCAGGTAAATTTGCTTTGAAGAATAGATGGGCTTCAAACAAGGAAACAGTGTTCCATGGAGGAGGCACGAAGTTACCTGATGTGGCTCCTGCAAGAAGTTTTATGTTCACGTATGAAGGAGACTCTAAGCCAGGCAGTGTGGATAACGACCATGGACAGAGAAGATCCTATTCAGAGAAGCTCTGAATAGAGGATGATGGTCATGGGGTTTGTGGAGTGAGCAGTGGGAGGAAGGGAGCTAAGAAGTGTTACCCTGGGTAGAGATCGGAATGGGGTGCAGCTTTGAAGTGAGTCCTGTCCAGGCGAAATGATTTGAACGGCATAGGGCGTTCTACACACGTTTGCCGTCTCCACCTGGACCCTCTTTGCTTCATGAGAAATGAATTTGTTTTGTTTTTTTGTTTTGTTGTGGCTGTTGCTGTTGTTTTCTCTTTTGGTCAAGTGGAGTGTTAATGTTTTCATTTTTTTATTTTCTTTTTCATTATTTTTCTACTTTGATCATCATCATCATCATCATCATCATCATCACTAACCATGCAGCCCGGACTGTCCTCTATTCTTAACCCTCTTGGCTCATCTGCCTGTATTCTGAGTCCACCATGCCCATTATATGTTAATTTTCAGTCAAACGCCTTAGGATCATTTCCCTTTAAGATGTGTTCATGCTGTCATTGGATGCACCTGTATTCTGCCTTTAGGCTTGTGAAGAGTTCTGACAACTTTCTGTGGCAGTAGTAGACCATCTCTGTCCTTGAGTTTCTGATACCATCAGCCATGACACAATGCAGATCCACTGAAGGGCTCATCTTGCAGCGGCCCCCTGATTGCTTCAGGGGACCTGAGGGCAGCTTGCCCTTTAGAATAGAAATGGGTTTTTGCTCATTCCGTCATACATTCTGGCCCATTGATGAGTGTTGTCAATAGATTCTAGAATGTTTTCCTTTCTAAATATCTCTCACATTCTTCTTGGAACCTTATAAAGTAATCCTGAGGTTTTTCCAAAAGAGCTTTCCTGTGGTAGAGATGCCTGGTGATGCTACCTCCATAACCTTGAGAGCCCTCGGGACAGGTACAGGTCGGGCTTCTGGCACCCAGGTTGCTCTTCCAGTCTGGTCGTCTGTCTGGAACAGGCATAAACAACCCAACTCTACATTCATAGATCCTATTCTGTAAGACTGGGGGAAGGAGCTCTGGAGCCAGCTCAGTCTGTAAACTGCTGGACTCCTTCATGTGAGGCCTGACTTCAATCTTTGAAAACCCTCTTAAGAAAGCCAGGTGTAGTGGTACATGCTTGTAAGCCCAGTGCTGAGACAAGAGGTTCCCCGAGGCCAATTGGCCAGTCAACCTAATCTACTTGGCAAGTTTCAGAACAATGAAAGGCCCAGTTTCAAAAAATATATAGTGGACAGCATTACAGGAATGGTATCCAATATTGTCCTGCCCCTCTCCCACACAAAGGAAAAGATATCTATACCTATATCTAATCTATATCTATAGATTGTAGAATGTTTTCCTTTCTCAAGCTATATCTATATCAAGATATAGATAGACATAGATATAGATAGATATAATATTCAATATATATATCCAACACAAAGAGAAAGATTTTATATATATAAATTATACACACACACACACACACACACACATACACACACACACTCACACATATACACACAGACAGAAACAGAGACAGAGAGACAAAGACAGTTGAAGTCAGCTTTCCCAGACTTGAGAACTCCTTTATTCGTCCCATGATACTTTCCACGGCATTCCCACCCAGTCTAGGATGTTATCCCTCTGCATGTACTAATTGTTCTGAACCTTAAAAACACTGAGGTATCTTTACCTGTCATATCAGCCTTCCCGCAGGATTCTTTAGTCCACTGTTATCTGTTCAACAAATCCCTATCAGTCAGGTTCTGATTTAGGTATTAGAAGTTTGGAAGGACATAATCCTCCCCACCCTAGTGAGCTACAGGACATTTTGATGAGAGTTGGGAAGTACAAAGCAGGAGATTGCCAGTCAAGGTCCGGATGCAAAGTCATGCTATGTTAAAGCTGCTGCTTTAGGGAAACTATCCAGATAGTACATGAACAGAGTCCTGTAGAAGGTAAGGGAGCAAGCCACATGGCCACCCAGCCAGGGGTGCCCGAAAGGAGGCTGTAGCAAGTGCCCAGATACAGGAATAGCTATGAGAAAGAAGTACGAGCATGCTCAGTGTGCTGAAGAAGAAGTTAGGAGAGAGCTTTGGCAAAGGATGACAGAGCACAGGAAGAGATGACAGGGAGAAGTAGGAGAGCGGATTATATGGGCCTACAGTTATGATGTGGTCTCTGCCTTGTCCTCTTGAGTGGGGCAGAAGGGTTTTGAAAAGATGAACAGCATGACATGCTATGTCTTTTAAAAGTCTATCTATAGACACTAGCTTATAATAGCCTGGGGGAAGAAAGCGGAAACCAAAGAACAATGAATAAGAGGTTGTTACATCCATCTAGTTTAGATTCTGCCTTAAAACAGGAGCCAAGAGAGAGGGGTTTAAATGGCCAGATTCTTGACATGTTTCTTGCGGTATCTTTGAAGGGAAACAAGTGTCAAATGAGGTGATGCTGTAGGAGAGACAACCAAACCTCAGCAAAGGAGTAATTCTATTCAAAGAAACAGGCAAACAAAACCCCACCTTTCTTCTATTTCACTTTCTACGTGGTAGCGAGGAGGGCTGTGAGGTAGCATATTTGTTCTGTAGCTATGAGAGGAATGACAGAGTGTTCTGTAGCCATGGAGACCCACCCCTTCCTTTTACCTTTCCTCCTTAAATTTCTAATACAGAAGTTAAAGGAGGCAGTTATGTGATAAAAACGATAGGAGAATCCAGTCTTCCTTGTAAGACTAATGATGTAGAGTTGTCTAGAGGTCTGAGGCTGCCTTTCTTGAGTTTTCTCTAAATACCGTACTTGAAACTGTCTCTACACCTCTTGGTCATTGCAAATATGCACTCATCTTGGCAGATGTGCTCAAAACATGCACACAGTCTACCTTCCCTGCATTCTTAGGTGTTTCCTACAAATAGGAAGTTGCTAAACAAATAAATACAGAGTCCCATGGAGTCGTACTTTGCGTGTTAGTGATACTGAATTCACATAGAATAGGCTGAGTGCACGTAGGTGGGATGTGACTGCTCTTCCTTCAGTTGGAAAATCCCCAAGGCAATCATGTGCAATTCTGAATCCCCACTAATGTCAGGCCTGTTGAAGTTGAAGCATCCTCAAGTACATGCTGAGTATGTGCGTGGATAGATGTGTCTGAAGCTTGAAATACAGGTGTCAGTCATGAGAATGAGCACAGACACAGGTGGCACATGTATGAAAGTGGACAAGGCAGGAATACATTTACATTGAATCTTTGAAAACTGACACACTTAATTATGGTGCAGAATCAAAACAAGAGAGTGTTAGGTCCTAGAACCAGGAGAGAAAGCTCAAGACCCAAAGCATTGGAGGGTGGGCTTCTCATTGGACTGAAAGGGTGTGGACGGCACATCCAAAAGGGAGAAATAGAGGTGACACTAAAGTTTACAGATTACAAGAGGGGGTGAAGGACTGCTGTTATAGAAGCTTATGCATGGCCAAAATCAAAATAGTATTTACTCTAAAGCAAAAAACTCAAACCCTCCTTGAGGATACAAGTATCTTTGATACCTAGAACTACTCTGAACATTGTTCCCAGCAGCCCCTCTTTCTGACAAAACACTTTCTTTACAGAATGATTGACAGCGTTGTTGATACATCGCTGTGGAGAATAATAATTGAAACCCTTCCATGTCTTAGTGAGATGAGGCACTGCTGAGGCTTTAAAGAGGTATAAGTGGTGGCTGAGACTAAATGTCTCTCTTGATCCTCCTTAAGGGTGACACACTGGCCATTCGACCCATGGAAAGGTGGTGATTCCATCCTTTAGCTGGTGTCAGATCCAGCTTGTTGAAGGGTGGTGTCTCCATCTTTCAGCTGGTGACAGACCCAACCATGATGGGCAGAAGGTTGGTCCTCCTTACCCCGGGTCTCACTGTGTTGTCAGTGTTCTCTGTTTCTCCACAGATCGCGAGGCAACAGCAACAGCTTCTGCAGCAACAACACAAAATCAACTTGCTTCAGCAACAGATCCAGGTCAGAGATCAGCATTTCAGCATCCTCCTGCTTAAAGAGAGTCTGTTATTTCTGAGTCTTATATAATTTAATGGAAATGACCCCCAAGTTAGCCTAACACTCTATATGTCATCTGCATGATGCAGTTTTCAAATGGTGGCTCTGTCACAGATGGGACCTTGTCTGGCAGCATCTCTCTAAGGAAGCTGCCAGCAATGTCTACCTCATGCCTAAGAGGGCTCATCATGGTGTGCTCTTTCAGTGTTTCATGCTTTAATGTTGGAAGATGAACCTGTAGACATTCTTAGTGGGGTAGGTGCAAGGATCCAGTAGAAAGCTACAGCTGGGTTTTGGTTAGAAACTCAGAGGTTCTGTTGACAGCTGCTTGTGATCCTAGTGGGCCATAGAGAAGGCAAGGATCCAGTATGTGGCAGATCTTATGGTGGTATTGCCTAGGGAAACCAAGTCCATTTTTCTTCTATGAATATTCACAATGTTAAAGGGTATTAATAAGGAAAGCGCCTGCTGTGGTAGTGAGTGATGGAATTAATCATGAGACCTCTTTTCTAATATTCACTAGAGACATGAACTTTGTCCATTTTGAGCTGCCTTTCCTGGTAGCACTTATGTCTTAGAGATTTGGAGAGTAAATGATACCATCATGAAAAGTCCAGCATTGGAGTCTAGTGAGATATGATTCCATCATCCCAAGATGGAGGCAAGGTGCCCAGGAGTTCCAGGCTTGCTTAGGTTACATAAAACCTCATCTCAGACAATAAAGAGGCAACAACCATCTCCTGTCCCATAGTGTCAAGATGTAGGGTACCTGCTGAGCACTTAAAATCTACTGTCCAAGGATGTAGTACACGGGACAGTACTCTAACTTCATGTAGTATCTGTGTGGATACAACAGTTGGGTTCAGGTTTAAATAATTTTTCTTATCTGGGAAGAAATTCATCATTCTCTTGAACTTTTCTCTTGAGTATATAGTATTTTATACTGAAAATCACAGAAGCAGATATAAAACCTATTTCATTCAGTTACTAATGTAGTTTTGAATTATTTGTTAACTACATTGCTCCCACTTTATCTGATGGAGTCACCTGCCCTCTATCCTAGAACATGTGGGCTAGTGTTTAGCCTTTCATGGTCCACCTTAGGCAAGAACTTCCATAGCTTAAATTGCATTTGCTATCTGAAAATACTTATCTAATATTCTGATCTCAGTCTGTTGCTGTTCCACGGAGAGATCCACATTCCACCAGGCGTGACTCATGCCCGCTGTACCTCCTGGGTTGTTTTGTGCCATTGTTGTTGGGTCTGACCTCACAAAGCAATGTGTTTCAGTTACCAAATCACGGAACACTGAGCTGTGCAGTTATCTTAGCCACAATTAGGCAGCCCCTGAAACCCTTTGTTGTAACTTCAAATACTAAAGTCACTTAAGTGGTCTACCTATTAAGAAAGGCATTTGCCATTCACCCTGGGTTAGACAGCTGTACTCAGTGAACTAGACTGTGTTTGCCTTTGTCTTTAGTGTGATCTCTGTGAAGGTGAGGTTAATTTAGGCTTCTTTTTTCCCCACTTGAAATACATCAGTCAACTGAAGGAAATGGGTGAATTTTCACTTCTGTGAACAAACACCCACATTAAAATCACTTTTGACCTATGAATTTTATCTTCTCAACCCTCACGGGCAGAATGAAGATAAGCTTTGCTCTGGAATTTCTTATTATTCCAACAGAAAACCCCACGCAGGTTTGCATGTGAACTGGTTTCCTTAAACTTCTGAGTGCCAATACTTTATGAAGTGTTTTTATGGCTCTTGAAAGCAACATTTGCTCTGAAATTCATAATTTTAATAGGATTGAATGTCCTTTTTGTAGATTTCTTGGTAGAGGCCTAGTGGGGTTAACTTCTTATGACAGGACTATTCCCATGACTCCTTGAGGTTAAAAGAAGAATTAAAGGCTTCTGTAACATTTTTATCACAAACAATGATCTCTGTAAACAAGACATGGTCATAACAGGAGAACTTTCCATCTTCCCTCGAGAACATATCCCGGTCTTTATGAGAATTGATGCTAGGACCATGGAAAAGCCAGCCTTCTTTTTGCTTAACAGCAGCAGTGTCTCCTATGATGCTCACCTTTTGGCTTTAAAAGAATGACAATTTGTATTTCCACCTGTGTGTTCAGCTCTTAGTGAACAATAATACAGAAAATAGCATTTACAAAGATCATAGAAAACGCTATCTCCCCAGGTTTGTCTCTGTTTGGTTTTTTTTAGAAACTTGTGTTGATACTGGCTTTTCATTTTTTCCTCTACTTGAACTTTCTCAGTAATAAGTTTTTATAGTGTATTTCCTGATTTCCTTCTTACAGTAAGTCTCGCTCTGTCTGATGCGGATGTTACTCTGTTTCACATAATAAACCAAGGCTGGCGGTCCATCTTGACCTGGGTCACTGTACGAGACAGGAACATAAGTGACCTCCACTCATCTTTTCTATGACGACAAATCATTGTCCCCAAAGATGGACATTTCTTTCCTTGTTGGAACATCTGAGGAGATAGTCTCTGTAGCTTTGGGGAAGGTTTAGAGGTTACCTTAGTTTATAAATTTTTGCCCATTTTTAACAGTATTGGGTAGAATGTAATTTTCTTGACCGTAAACAGTGTTAATCCAACAGCGACCAAGTGGTAAAGTCCTTTAATATATTTTAAGACAACCTGCAACTTTTCAGATGCATTTGTCTCATGATCTCGTACAGGACATAATGTTTAAACTTTAAGAGAATCACGTAATTTACTCATCTCCTCCCCTGACCAACGTTTAAACCATTGTTCATTGTGTTCTCTTCTGGAGAAAACAATTAGTCGTTTATAACCTGCTGTTACGGTTTTTGATCCATAAGGTAAGCACTCAGGATTAGTCACAGCTCTGTCTCACTGGCTCTACCCAGGGCTCTGTGGGAGGAAAGGAAGCACCCTGTTCCCCTGATGTTTCCACTGGGTGGTGAGCATTCCAGTCTACACCACGGGAAGGGATTCCAGCTCTTAGGTTGTACCTCAAATGGTTCTCTTAGGAGAAGTGTCCTGACTGAGCTGCCCTCATGCTGCCCTTCACATAGTCATGCTTTGTTAGATCCACGACACTGAGGCACTGGCTTTTGTCCTCTGAGACTATTTTTCTTTGAGCTGTAAAATGGGAATCATGATACCTGAGTCGGGCTACCTTTCTCTGTGGGCTTAGTAAGCTAAGCCAGTAGGGGAAAAATGAGTTCTAGTATTTCCAGGACTGAAGGACTTAAGTATTATTTCTAGCCACATACTGAGTTCTAGGAACACACACATTGCAAACTCTTACACATATAAATGAGCACTCACACAAATATACACTCACATACATACTCATATATATGTATGTACACAGAGATACACATATACATATGTATATACACTGAGGTTTGAACACACATGTGTACATACATATAACACACAGAGACACCAACATACACCCATAGTCATACATATGTACACAATCACACCCATATACATGCATACATATGCAGTCAGACATATATATGTGTGTGTGTGTGCGCAAAGAAAAACATACACACTTATAAAGACACACACAGAAATACATACATATGTGGAAATGAATATATGTGCATATACATACCCAGCCATACACTTACACAAATATATATACATACACACACACACATATAGAGGTGTATATCCATATACCTTCAGTATATAAGACCACACGTATACACACACATGTCCACACACATACACACAAGCAATCTATATTGGGTCATTACTGATTGACCATACAATGTTCCAGATTTGTGGGATTTTAGAACTTCAAAAGATTCTTCTAGAAAGTTTATACTGGACCCGTCTCTCATTATCACCTTTGTGATCTGAAACAATTAAGGTTTGATTTTTCTGGTGTCTGAGAGCTGGGGACAGTGGCTAATTTCAAACATCCTAAGTTTTGACCCCCTTCGGTTTCATCCTACCAATAGCCTACTATTTAAGGCTTAATGACCCAACTTTGAAAATGCTACCCCCCAGCCCCCAGAAACTTAAGCTTACAAAGTCAAAATGCAACTTCACTTAGGTACAATTGAACGATTAAGTTGCAGCCATGGGTTCAACCAGTTTGCGATAAAGGCTTCGTTTTATTGGAGCCAAAGTTCTCTGAGCTCATTAGAATTTGGGTAATTCTTGATAAATTATTATGCAGAAAGAAACCCACTGAAATACCATATTGAAAATATAATAATGTTAGCAGTGACATAATCATGCTTGGCTGGCCTGCTGATTTGTGATTTCTTTCACTGAATGTGGTAAGTCAGAATCATTTTGCTCCCTCAATAAGACCCCCCACACATACATGAGCACAAAGAGATTACAAGGTAACCTTGTCTCTTTGGGAGACTGGAAATGCCAAGAATAAACAGCAGGCCATTAAGGTTGCATTTCAGCCTGAGAAGGGAATGCATTAACCCTTTGAGTTCCAGCTAATGTTGGAGTGTTTGAAGTACAAATCCCGTGACCGGACAGTATGTGTATGGGCAACTAGAAGACATGGCGAGAGAGAAGTCACTTCAAGAGCTACCTATCTGCTCTTCTGACATTTAGTTTCTGCAAACAGAGCCACTTAGGTTAAAAGGTGGTGTGTCCTGACAGAGAAACAAGGGGACCCAACGGATGGCAGGCCTATAGTTTTCTAGGCTTTCCCTCAGAAGAGATACCTGGAACCCTGTGAGCTTTCTACTTTAATAGGTATGCTGGCAATAATCCAGAGACAGGATTTCAAGCATTCCCATCATCTCCCTCTCTGTGCAAAGCTGTCTCTAGAGAGAGAGAGCAGCAGGTTGATATGCATCTATATCACCATGTCTATCAATAAAGCACATTTTATATGGCAATATGAGCACCCCAAAATAATGAAATCAACCATGCTGAGCCTGGATCTCTAGAGTATATTTACTTACTTTCCAACAGA